CTTTCTGCAACAGGCTAATTTTTCCAAAACAAGTATTTCAGATGGATTACCCTCTTCAGATGCCAATTTCTCCTGGATGGCTGACTGGATAACTGTTTTAATTAAAGTGTGTACAAAGTACCACTACCATGCCACTACTCACTGTGTAAGCAGTACACTTGTGTGTCACGTAAAATTTCAGTAAAATACCTTGCTAAATAAAAAGACAGTTTACATAACTTGGGATCCTTGTAGAATAATGACTACTCTATGCAATCTAAGAAAAACAAGTCATTCATGTTATAGGAGCTGCCTATGAACAGCTAATAAGGCAAATTACCTGTTAGATGTTTTTCTACATTTCAAAAAAAGGGTTGGTTAAACTGATTCTCAAACAGATACAAATGTAACATTAACCAATGATAATGAGATACATAAAGTTCTGAGCAACCAATTAATTTATACCATTAGTATACCTTCTAATATGTCAGTGTTGCATTGTTGCTCCCTTTCACATAAGGAAAAAATTGCTCCATTTTGCCATGACTTTAATGTTATATCAAAGTACTTATTGTTAAGTATGTGTGAAAAGTTTTCACAGAATCAGCAGCAAAATAAACCCAAAATAAATAGCTGCTGATATATTTTGAACTGGCTGCACTTCAAATACATCCTTTGTATTCCGTTCGCTTGCTACTTGCCTTGACTCGAAGCTTACATTTAGAAAAGTGATCTTGTTTCTTCCTCTTTTTTGAAGTTCTGTAACTGTCTGTCTTGAATGGAATTAATCTTGACCACAGCCACAAGTGACTTGCAGAAAACTGACCTCTCATTGCAAGGGAATCCATAAACACGACTTCTGAGTTTGTGCTGGAAATAGCTCAGGAGAACATAATATGGTGCAAAAGCCATTGAAAAGCACCCAGAAATAATGAGTGCAAATTTGTCTGCAAACCATACTTGATTCATATTTCTGCCACCCTGGCTTTCAAAGGACGACTTGAACACTAATTAAGTGTTGCCAATAAAGCAGAGACAAAAGAATTCAGTGGATCAGAATAACCTACAGGGGATATTTATAATGAATGTTCCTGATAATCTCAAGACCTTAGACTTCCTAGGATACAAGAGTGTCCCTCAGTTCTTAAAAAACAAACCAAAATCTCTCACCAGGTTCCTTCTCAGTATCCCCTGGAGTCAGCAGAAGTGGCTATAACAGTTTTCTACTTAAGGAAGATTATTTCCAGTAATGAATGTTTAAAAAGCCCACACACAATTAAAATATTAAAATGCAATAAAAAGCCAGTAGGAAAATTTCTATAATATGCATTGCATTTTATTTCTTGAATTTTCCTGTCGTAAAACCATTATACAAAAGGGAGTATCTTGAAAAAGCAGTCTATCTATTTCTAGTCCTGTAGGAGTAACAATTAGTCAATGAATTTGGAGCTGATAGGAAAAGGGCTGAAGAAAATAATATTATCTAAAAGAAATTACTCTGATTTATTTTGTGTGAAATTTAGAAATAAAGCTGATTTATTGGTTAGGGATGTGCTTTTTCCTAACAAAAAAAGATTTAATTGACATTTTTCAGTTACCCTTTTTGGTGGATGTTTTGAATTTTTTTTTAAGATAGACTTTTTTAAGAAAGCAGGAATCACCTCTTCCATTTTCTTTTCCTTCAAGCTCATAAGTCTTTTCATAAGTTAATGTTCTGACAATTTTTTCTTGGAAAACAATTAAATATTGTGTTTCATTAAAAACTCAGTTTAACATTCAAGGCTGACTTAACATCTAACATTTATGTACACTTCACTTGGAAGTTTTGGGCTTTCCTAATCCTGGTGAAGTTTGATGTTCACCTGGTTGTGAAATCTGCTGTTTTCTTTTCTTATGCAATTTGGGTTTTTTTTTCTATTTGACATGTTATGATCTTTATATCAGTATTTTGAAAGTAGATTAATTTTTTCTACACTCTCTGCAGTTATAATGACAAATTGCTTGTTGACTTTACAAAAAGCATTGAGGGAAAACTGCATAAAACTAGCCACTGAATTGCACATGAATATAAAATATACCCTGTTATACCAAATCAACAAGAGACCACAGGAAAAAAAAAAGTTGAAATATCAATTTCTCATTAATGTGTTGCAGTGACCACAAAATAGTACAGTTTAAGATCCTGAAGAAAAAGAGGAAGAAGAGGCCAGTCTAAAATCAGAGTGCAGCTTGTTCAGGGCACTGGCAAGCAGGGTCTTTTGGGATGCAGCTCTGAGGCCAGAGCTCAGCAGAGCTGGGTGATCTCCACAGAGAGCCTCCTCCAGGTGCCAGAATGGTTATCCCAATCTGCAAGGAAGCAGGCAGGCAAAGCAGGACACCAGCGTGCCTCCAAGACCCAGTGCAAAATGGAAAGAGATCAGAGATGGAAATGGAGACAGGTTACCCAGGAGAAACAGAGAAGCTGTGCCTGGCCAGGCAGGGATGGGGTTTGCAAAGCTCAGGTGGCACTGAAACTTATCCAGGATAGATGAAGAATAACAAGAAGGGTCTCTACAACTAAAATAACAGTGAAAACCAAGGAAATACAAACTTACTGCTAAACTGAGTGGGTAATCTGATGAAGGATACTGTACAAGCTCAGATGTTTGATGCTTTCTTGGCTTTGGCCTTTAGTGGCAAGGTCTGCCACCCTGGTCCCTGAGCTCAGTAACAGAGTTTAGGGAACGGAGGCAGACAAAGGCTGAATTAGGGATTGCTTAGGTAAGAGTGACACTCACAAGTCCATGGGCCTAGATGGGATGCATTTAAGGCTGATAAAGTTGGCTCATCTTTTTGAAAGGCCACTTGTTGAGAGCTGAAGCACCTACGCAGTGTGGTTGTAAAATTGCCGTATTTGGAGATATTAAAGATTGATTAGGCAAGTGCTGAGCAGCCACATCTAACTTTGACACTACCTGGCCTGGAGCAAGAGGTTAAACTGGATGACCTCCAGAAATCTCCTCTCAGTTCTTCTATGATTTTGTGATTATGGTCAGTGAGTAACCTATGCATTTAAAACACCCTCACTGCTGACTACTGAGATGCTGCTACCTGCAGGAAAACAAGATTCAAAACTTCTCTCATGTACATTGAAAAATGCAGATGCATTGAAAAGTTGCAGATGTAACTAGTCCATATGAAAACCTTCAATTATTCAGAAGAGATTCATTATTTCATTGATGTAAATAATTGCTTATGCTGTGGTGTCAGGACTGCACATTGACAGTGTCTAATCATTCCAGGCGTGCCCACTGGTATGAAAAGAAAGCTCTTATTTTCAAATGCTGTAACATACAACCCCAATATATTTCACTCAAAATTTCATCAAAGAACGAGTCTCTGTCAAAATCCCAATAGCATACAGGTTTTGAGAGCAGAGCTAGAAATACAGTGTAAGAAAAATATCACCTAAAGCTTTCCTTGGAATGAAACAACACTTAATTTGACATTACTTATATAGTCAATGTAATTGGGAAGGGTGACATTCTAATTGAGTTTCTCATTTGAAGGCAGACAGAGAATCAACTATACAATAAATTCTGTTTGACTCAGGTCTAATCAGCCTATTTTTTTTACTGTTATTATTACATATTGCTAGAAGCAGAAAATGAGATAGCAAACCTAACTTTACTTAATATCAAAGAATCAGGGAAAGAATGAAGAAGATAATATTACTGCTTTATTGAGAAACAAAGACCTCAAAAATTAGTATAAGACCTGTTTTTGAGGCTTATACCAGTAGTCAAGAGAGACCACAAGACAGAACTTTATTAGAAGCAGGACAGTTCTTTCAGTTTATGGAGTTTACTCATAACAAGAAGCTCATAGCAAATTTTGTTTGTTAGTTGACTTGCAGGTTAACACTTTTTTGAAAAAAATCTGAAAATATATTTTGTTTAATCCCACCTAACACAGATGAAGACTGTCAGCATTGCTGGCATTTTTATACTATTTCTGGAAGTTTTCTTTCAACTAAATCCCCAGGAAATGAGCAGCTATTTGCAGGAGGAGTACAACTGCTGTAGCACTTCCTGGCCGGATTTCTGTAAACAAATGTGATTTTTCAAAATTATACAGGTAACAGTGAAAACACTGATAGCTGTAAGTTTTGAGAAGAGGTACCTGTACCATTAAAACCTGAGCATCTCTCAGGAATCAACAAGATCCATCAATTCAGAGTTTTAACCAATGGGAAGGAGAATACAGAAACAAAAACTGGTGTACAGCAACCAGGCTACTGGAATTTAAATTATTAATTATTAAGTTTATTTTTTTACTTACTTGCCATTTTTCTGTGCAGTGCAGCAACATGCCTTGTTACTCCAAAAGCAAAATCTATTATATGAATTGCAATACATCTTTTTCTATATCCTTAGCATTTTTCAGTCACTGTTCTTCCTTTCCTTCTACATCCCATTACAAATACTGACATTTCTCCTTTCCAGCCACTTTTTTGTCTGGTTTTCTGTCTTCTTCTCTCTTTCCTGCTTGCTTCTTTCACACAAACTCACCTGTCTGCATTCCACCTAAACACTTTTTTGAGCTTCTCTGCATATTTACATTCATTCATTCACTCTCAAAAATCACCCTACCATATTTTCTTTATTTTTCACATAAGAAAAACCTGACTTAAATTTCTTCATGTGAAAAATGAACAGTAATGCAACAGTGAGTGGAGCTCTCATGCTTCAGGAATAATCTTTTCAATAAACCATACCAAAAATGAATACCAGGAGAATACTATTCCTCTTTTGATACCCAAGTACTTTGGAGCTGCTCCTGGATGTTTTTATACTTTTTCAGCATTTTAAGAAGACACTTCATTTAAATACTAAAATAATTCATAATTCTTCATTATAACGAAAGCAAAATTATTTTCTCTTTTTTCACCCATGAGAAGGCAAGACTTGCTGTCCTACTGACTGACTGCACAAGGCAATAAGTCACTGGGTTTGTAGTTTAAGTGACAGGACATCAACTACCTGACAAGGTCGATGACTCTCTCCCTTGGAGCAGTGCTGACTGGCTCATCATTAATCATTATGATCTGATCCCCTGGAATAAGCTTTCCTTCAGAGGGGCCGCCTGCAGACAAATGAAGACAGAAAAAACAAAAAGAGCACAGGTTAGCAGGTCATTGTAAACACACAGACACTGTTGTTCATATTCTACAGGTGTTTTCTTTTTCTTTAGCTATTTTTTTAACTATTTCTGATGTTACCAGTACTCCCTCACCAGAAAAATCTTGCAAGCTAGTGGTTTAGCAGCTTCTACTGAAGTTTCTCAAGTTCTACCTGTATCTAACCACCTAAACAAAGGGCTCGGTTTTCTGAAGGGCCAAAAGGACCCATAAGCCATGGACTAATGCATCCTTTAAGGTGTGATCAACCATATTTTAATCATTCTTGATCAATGTTTGTCTGATGTTTTGTAAGACCACCCTGAGAAGGATTTCTTTTCTTGTGAACAAATGATCCTGTTTAACTACTGTTAATAACAGGAAGATTGTTCCCATGGTAAATATATTAGATCTTCCTGATTGGAATACATTGTTTCCTGTCCCAGGCAAAGTAACACCAGAGAACATCTTATTCCTCTTTCCTATGAAACATCACTTACACATTTGAATGTCATTCACAGGTCTCTTCTATGACTTTTCTGTTCTAGGCAAAACAAACCTGTTTTCTTCAATTGGAGACAGAAAGTTTTTATACCCTGCTGCTTGAATCTCTTTTCTGCTGGATTCCTACCACTTGATGAACACGGGTACATCCAAAAGCATTGCTACTTTCAGTTAGACATGAATATTTAGCATTAGTGTGAATAGACAATCAGTCTTGTATATGTCTATGTGGTTTGGATACTGGCACTACTGAATTGCACATTGAGTGCATTGTATTTTATAAGATGCACATATTACTTTGTTTCTCAGCACAATTACATGCCCAGAAGATGATGTGACATCACAGTTCCTAGTGTAAAGATATATCCTCTGTAGTCTTTGTCTTTACAGTCTGCAATGATGATACATAAAAAACCAAATAATATTACCACTATGAAGATAAAGTCTTAAAAGAAAATGTTTCAGCATCAAAACCAATTCATTCAACAGCTGAGCTAATGCTGATCTTTTACTCTGCTTGCTTTTAAAACTTTACTCCACTTCCATATCCCACATAAATGGATACAAATCCATGTAGGAGAATGTTGTCCTGAGCTCATATTTCCTCCTATTCACTTGAACAGAACAAAGTAAACACATTTTCCAAATTTTAACATAAAACTACATTAATAATGCCAAATTGAAAGAAATGAGCTATCTGGATCCTGTTCAAATATTAGTTACACTGCTCACTTCATGTGAAAGCAATACAAACATAATCAATGCACACACGTTGGTAAATGACATCAGAATTTCATAAAGTCGATTTTGCCTCTCCTCTGCTCTCTGTGGGGGTTCTGGAGAACATATCGAACAAGAGCAAAGTCAAATCCCTGCCCTTGGCTGCAATTTTACATAACAGCTGAACTTTTAAGCATAGAGAGCAGGAGCCTGCTATTTGGGAAACGGATTATCCCAGGTCTGATCTCTTAAAACTTCAAAATATCCAAAAACCTCACTAATTTTCACTGTAGATAAGATGTTTAGGGATATCTTTTGACCCGGCTTTTAACCATATAGTTGTCCAGATGCCTTCATTAAACAAAAGCCAGCAATAGCATCCTCTTTTTCAGAAAGATATATTGTTTTTATAAACCTAGCTTTCTTTGGGAAGGTGATGGTGTGAATGAGAAATATGCAAGTTTTTATTTCAGAACTCAACATACCTCTTGAAAATGCTGATTCAATGGTAATGAAGGTGACAGCAAACCAATATAAAGATACCAGGGAGAAGACTTTCTTTCCTTTAATGAAATGGGTTAACTTTTTTCAGGCAAACAATAGTAATGGCTCTAAGTAATAACTCCAAACTGGCTTTTTGCCAATACATTTATGTAATGTTCAAAAATGAGTGTGAGGAAGGAAACCACTGGGCAAGACAAGGCTAGAAATCATATCTAGTATTTGTGATTACTTTGCCTGCCTGAATATTTCAACAAGTCTCAAATTTGTAGCTGCATTTCATCTTAGTAGGCTAAATCAAAGTTTTCTTCTGGGGTCAGATGGAGAAAACATACCTGGTGTTACTGAGCGTACAACAACTGGCTTTTCACTACCAGCCACAAACCCAAATCCTAGCACAGGATCCCTCCTCATTTCCACTTTCCGAGGGGTTGGAGGGGTTATTTGGCAGCTCTCTATTCGAGGGTCTTCAAATGTGGCTGATTGTGTCATGTGACTGTGAAAAAAAAAAAAAAAAAGATGGAAAAAGGAAAAAAATCATTAAAACATGATTTTGTGGCATCTACTTGAGCCAAGCAATTTGTGCAACGATATGAGATGAATATCTGAAACGTTCTCACTAGAGGAACTAAAACACCAACTTAATAATTTTCTATTAGATTTTTGTATGCATTAAGTAATAATGCTGCTGGCAGGTCTCAAATAGTAATCAATAGTATCAGGCTTTAAAGAGGCCTCTTTTTGACAGCACACATTTAATCATATCCCATATAGGAAAGAAAAACAACCTGATAATAAAACCTTTGTCATCTGTGCTTGAATTTTTCATCCTTCAATTTTGGAAGGGAAAAATAATAGTAGTGACCTACTCATAACATAAACCACAACAATTAGAGTCTGTCAGCCTTTTTAAAAAGAGGACACACATTTTTATTTGGGGGTCTAACATGTTAAGCATGTTTCTGAGATGAGTCTCCCTTCCTAAGGCACCCATAACAACTCAATATTTGCTATTTGGATAAACTATGTGAAATCACATCAAAATGTTCCAGGGCATAAACAAACAAAAAAGATATCAATAAAAGATATTTATGTGGAATTACTAAAATACTTTACTTTCTTCTGTGTGTTATGACAAAGCCTATTTATTGTACCTAGAAGAAAAAATTCTTGTGGCTGGAGGGAAAGATCTTGAGTTTTCAAGCAGAAAATAGAATGGATGAAAGTTATCCAACATCACATATCCATGAAATAGGCAACAGTTTAAAAGCATAAAGATTTTAAATTAACATTACTAAACACTGAAAGGTGGCTGATGCTGTACACAGTCAGAACCAAAACATACTTTGCAATTTCCACCCAATGCCTGGAGTCCACAATGAATCACAGCTACCAATTCCTAGTGCCAATCAGACAGACAAACTGACCACTCCAGCATCATACCCCAGACACCACTCACTGAACTCATGTGCTTCAGGAAACCAAACTACCACTGCAGGCAACAAGCAATATCTGGTCAGCACAGTACAGATTTCAGCTCATGGCATCAACTTATTGCAGAGAGAGATATATCCGACAGACCTCAGATAATATTTAAGTAGCCTGACCAAGAGTTAACTCTTTTTTTACTTTCAAGAGACTGTAAGTCTGCAAGCACTGACTCTAGCTCATGGTAAATAAATGCAGCAGACACATGGAGGAAGCCGAGTCCCAACCTCACCCGCAGAGAGGGCACAGGCTCTGAGAAAGGTAACAACCATGTGCCTGGCCTAAGAATCCTGAAATGCACATCAGAGAGGCAGGGATCCCTATAGCACTAGGCAGTACCATCTATTGGTGTCCTCATAAGTAATTAACACTATGAAAGTCAAGTATTTGATAATTTTACATATAACATGTTATAACATGAGGGTTAAGGGACTATACCATGCAACCAGCATTGTTGTTCTCACCACCTGTCCCTTTTCCATCTGTGAATACAACTCCCTGAAGAACTCCAAATTGGCAGTCCATAAGGAGAAAGGTATCATTCAGAGATCTATTTTCAGCATCAACGACAAGCAAAAATTTCTCTGATCTTTCCCCAACACATACACCTTGGGCATAACATCAATTTACTTTCTCTCCATGGTCTGCTTCATTACTGATACACAGAAGAGCAGCAAAATCTCAGTAAACTCTCAGTGGGAGTCTATTTCTGTAACTGGATTTTTCTAAGGCTTTTCTTCAAAGAAGCTTTCTATCCCTATGACTAGATTCAGTCTGCCTAAGAGTAACATGCTGTCTTTTTATGCATATGATCAGAGGCAGCAGAAGCTACTTCTTTACAAAAAAAAGAGAGAAAGAGAATATCTCTGTGCTCTCTTAATATATGCATAAGGTGGGGTCAGCAAGGAAAGTACTTGTTTTTTACTAGCTAGAGCATCATATCTGATACTTCATTCTCTTCCTCTTCCTCCGTCTATTCCCCCAGCTTTTGTCAGTTTATTTTAGATAACATTCTTTTTTTGTTTTCCAATGAACTGTTAGAAAACCCAGATACTTATATGCAGACCTTTTAAGAAATCTATCTTCAAGAACTCCCAGGCACCTCCTCTCCATAAATTTCTATTTATGGTTTGTGCTTCTAGATATTCAAACATTTTTTCTTTCTAATGAGACAATTTTTGGGGTGTTACTGGTCTAAAAAATGATCTATTTCAACTTGAGAACTTTGTTTTGGTAGAGAAGACAAACCGCATTTTTCACCTCTCGTAGATGACAGCCCCAAAAAGTTAACTTTCCACAAAGTTAAGATAATCTATTTAATAATTTTTTCCTAATAGCTGTCTCTATTTTTGTAACTGGGGCACTACAACTCCAAACAGAAAGCGCCTTCTGTCCTAAAGAGAAAATGCCGTATTTACAAGCAATGTAAATACTTGAGCCTTTGAAAACTACTTTCCTGCCATTGTACATTGTCTTCTAGAACTTTTGCAATCTGTTTTAAAAAAGGAAAAACCTCAAAACAGCTCCAACCCCCCCCAACAAACAGCAGCACTTCACATAACAAATTCTAAGAATAGACAGAGATTTGCTTAAAAGAGCAGCCCTGCTTCTGGATGCTCCAGCCCTTGCCTTGGCTGGTGCTGAGGATCTGCAGCAGCACAGCATCAGTTATTCCAAGTCTAAGCAAGAGGATCAGTGAGGAGCAGTCCATCATGATTCTGAGTGGCGTAGCAGACACTATTGATTTTTAAGGTTATCCACCTTGAAATACATCAACTACAAAGACTCTGTGGCTCACGCTTCCACAGCTTGCAGCATTGGATATTCTTGTGCCATTCAGAACATTGGGGGTGTATTTCAAGAGAGTAGCAAGATGTATAAATATGATCCCAGAAGAGATTAGATGAATGCTCAAAGCTTTTTGTGTTGGTACATTGACAAACCCGCTTCCTCTTGTGGTAAGTTCATTATTGAGATGCCAGTTGTGATACCACACAGTTCAGGACTAATTTGAATTTTGCATTAATTGGAGGTATTTGATTTCCATCTCAGCTATGAAAAATATTAACTTCTGCAGAACAACTATGCTACGAGTTCTAAACCAGAATCTAATATGCTTGGGCTCATAAAAGCCACTTTGTGGAACCCTACCCAAACATCCCTTACACTCTGCAAGGTCTTTGAAGAATAACTGCAACACTACAAATTTGCTATTTGCTTAAAAACACCCTAAAAATTGTATTTAGATAGATTTAGATACAGTTCTTACATCATACCTAAAGATTTATTTTTCTCAAGGAAAAATGGGAGAAAAAGAAAAAGCCTGAGACTGTAAATATGAACTGTTCTTTCCACATACCCAAACTCCAGCTGCCCTTAGATTGCCTTTTCAAAGAGAGACACTTATTTCCTCCCATTTTCAACAGCTGAGATTAGTCTCTGCTTTACAAAAGGTCATCTTCTCTGATGCACTCATGTTGTCAGCAGTGGGAGACTGCTGCCATATGAAAGAGAATAATTCTTAGAGAATTTCTTGAACAGATATTTTATATACCAGACTCTTCAGAGAGATGAACTACCAGCTATGGAAAATCATAGCAGAAGTGCAATCATAAGCACTTACTCCCAAAAACTCTCTGTGGCAATTGCTCTAGTCAATATAGAAGGTAGCAGGGGAAATGAGAGAGAAGGCATCTGAGTGTGCATGCACCAACACACAAAGCAGAATAGAGACATTGCAGGGTGGCATAAAATTCATGTGCACACTTACCCACAGAGGGGCCTACAGTGAGCAAAGAAAGAAAATTAGGAAAGAAAAACACCTTGGGGAGCACTGATCAGCTGCATCGTGGCAGCTAGCACATGCAAACACAATTCAGAAGCCCAGGACATTATGAGGAGCTCAACTTAACATTTACATATCCAAATTCATGCTTGGCTTAGTCAGAGGTGTGGTTTTAGACTGATACTTTGAATCTTCACATAATTATCTTCAAAATTATTAACTTGGTAATATTTTCCATGGAAACCTTCCTATCATTGTCTTTATTTAAATTAGAGGCTGAATAATCCAAGAAATATATAAACAAAGACTGCAATCGAGAGCTTGACTTAATAATGCTGACTAGTAATTAAAAGCAAAATATCTGAGTACAATTATTTGCATTTTGATGTCATTTCCTGACACACCAGGGGTTTTTTTGACAAAAAATGGAGTTTTCATTTCCACATAAAAATGCTTAGAGCTCTAATTCTTCTAAAAAACTGAAAACTGTGGTATGAACTCAGTGATCCTAGTATGATAAACATTATTTTAGAAATAAGTAACAAATGCACCAGAACAACTTTAGCTCCATTCTGCAAAGACTTTGAAAAAGAAAGCAGAAAAAGTGATACCTCAAGCTGAGTTGAATACAGCTGCACACCCATAAACTCTAAAACAACTGTAATTCATTAGCTGTTGCATCATATTTGTTCAGGGTGCTTTCAGGTGTCTCATTTCATATTCCCTCATTACAGTTTGTTTCAATTACTTCATAGGTTAACACCAGCTTGCAATTTTGAGGTGTTTAATCCTTAGCTTTTAAATAGTTACAGTATTTCTGCTATACAGATTGATTTACATACAAAATAGACTCTTTTTCACTTGAGACACAGCAGGTGTAAACCTAGTCAATAACAAAGAAAAGTCTGTGGAAATGTCAAATCACTCACAGACTGATGAGTGGAAGTGGGCAAGGAGGATGGAGATAGGGACTTTTTACCAAAGGTTTAATTCAGAAATAAAAAAATCACTTCAAATTGTTGAGCACTGTTAAAATCCTGTCTCATTAATCTGGAGGAGGTGGAGAATCTGCTTTGTTGATTGTAGCTGTGATTTTCAACAAGATCTGTACAAGTTAAGGACACTGAACAAACTTTCATTTACAATTATCTGAGTCCCTACCATGAGTCTCTGCCCATCCTGTGTCAAAACTACCTCTTCATACTCTGTGAACTCTATGCGTC